AATAGTATTATTAATAGCAGAAACATTAGCTACAAAAGAAGGAATAGCACTACTAATACTATCTAATTTCCGGCAAATAGAGGTTAATTGAGCATGCAAAAAGGATACGGGTCAACATGGTGTTTCCCTTTGTTTGCAAAACCTCTAGGATTCCCATATTGGGAATTATGAATTGACATCTCCTTAATATATGCCTGCTACATCCTCTTGAAGGTTCATAAATCTTTTGTTAGCTGCAGAGTCTATGATTGATCTCGAAGAATTTCCAAGCCCGTTGTAGAAGGCTTGGATCAACTGCCACTGTAAAATCCCGTGATGATGGCATTCTCTCTACAAATCCTTAAATCTTGCCCAAGCTTCATATAAAGATTAATCGGCTTCTTGGGCAAAATTTAGGATCGAACTTTGTAATAAAGCAATCTTCTCTGAAGGATAAAATTTATTATAGTAATTCAAAGCAAGAGAATTCCAGTCAGTATTACCAAGAGCAGTCTTATTCAATCCATTATACCACAATTTAGCTTTACCACATAAAGAAAAGGGAAAAAGAATCTCCCTGATTTGGTCTTACATGACCCCAGCTTGTCTGATGGTATTGCAATATTGACAAAAATCAAAATATGAAGATTAGGGTCTTCATTCTTAGCTCCGCCAAATTGCTTCCTTTCGATCATAGTAATAAACTGGGGTTTGATCTCAAATTGTACTCCCTCGAGATCTGGTGGAGGAGCAACAATGGCGGATCTAGGGGGGTACACAGAGGTACAGCTGTACCCCATTCTGCGGGGGAAAAAAACTGCTAACAAAAGAGACCGCCTGTATCAAATAGGCGGTCTCTTAGATACTATTATGTAGTTTGCCACAAGGCCCACAACAACTGAGCAGCCCGCCTTTTTTCTGTTAAATTCAAAGAGATCACCTATTTAAAAAACTGGTCTCTTATATGATATTTTTAATATTTTTCTCGATGGACTAGTACTTTGGATCAAAGAGACCTATTGTTACAAATAACAGGTCTCTTAGATGATATTGTTCATTTTTTCCATGGTAGATTAGTACTTTTGATCAAAGAGACCTACTGTTACAAACAATATGTCTCTTAGATAATATATTTTTTTTTTTTTACTTACAAACATATTTAGTCACACAATTATAAACCTTGTTGTCAGAAGATAGGGTGTATAGTGCACTCAAATACTAATACAATTGTGAAATGGTCTATTAACTCAAAATTTAGTTAGGAAAAAAAATATTATGCTCAACATATTACCTTGTATTTTGTAAATTATTTTTATTAAACTTAATTTCGTACCCCCATTCCCCAAATCCTGGATCCGCCATTGAGGAGCAAGATGTGGAAGATCCGTCATGGACGGCTCTGAAAAATCGCTGAGCAGTCATCTCTGATTCTGGTTCTGAAGATACTTTTGTGTCACTAGAATCAGATGGAGGGTCCACAGGAATGTTACTCCCAGAACCTGCCAGTATTTGTTTGTAAAGATACTTTTGTCTATGGAAAGAGCGCTTGATCTCAGGATCGAATGGAATATAACCTGATCTTGAACACCTAGGCATAAACAAAGAACTAAACAACAAATATGAGAAATTGTCCCAAAGAACTTACGTTCTCTAAGACGAGGGAAAATAATCTAGACTACAAAAATAATTAGAAATAAAAATAAAACCGTCTCCCCGACAACGGCGCCAAATTTTACAGGTTCTAGCCGTATCACCAAATCAAAAATAATTGCTAAGTGCTCTAACTAAAGTAGATAGGGAAGTAGGGTCGAATCCACTAGGAAACAATGTCTTTCTATTCCTAAATAATTAATATAATCTAAATCATCAAGTAACCAAATTGTTATTGTGAGAATTAAACTAAGGAGAAGAAATAAACTAATGCGAATAAAAATAAGGGGAATAACAATAAATCAAAGCCTAGGGTATAGGTTCACCAATAAATAATATTCCAAGGTAAAACACAACAATTAATTATCAATGTATCAATTAATCAAATCATAAAGGGCTTTCGCTACGTATTACAATCACAGAATTAATCTAGCGGTATTAAATAGCATCTCTCGAATCTTGACTTAACCATTTATAAATTAACCTGTCTATTGAAACTAAGCCTAAACATCAATTCTCATCTGTCAAATTTCGAATCAATATTACATAACTCATACAATTAAACCAGGCCTAATCTAATTGCATAGCATTAAATAAATTTATAGGATATTAATCAAGCATTGACAATCAACAATAATAAATTACCCCTTCATATTATTTATAGATCCCCACGAACCCTAGAAATAAACTACTCACACATATTGAAATCTAAACTGAGCAAAGCAATAAAACAAGACATGATTAATCAAAGCAATTAAATTACTTAAAATTAAAGGGGAAGAAATCGTTACCAAAATAAACGGAATTAATGAATTACATAAACCAAAAGTGTTGAGAGAACAAAAATAACAATGTAAGCTTAAAACTAAAATCTGGAAATTAATTAATGAATGACGTGAGTATCTTGCTTAATAAAAGCGTATTTATATCAAAGCTAAGAAATCCTAAAACTAAACAGAGCTTTAACGTCCTAATCATCCTTTAATAATACGCGCCCGGCAAAGCGCCTGACTGCCCGGCCGGGCGCGCCTTCGGGTGTGACTCTATCTCTCTCACTCACCCGGCAAGGCACGCCTACGGGCGTGAGATGCTTTTTTTCTTTCTTCCTCGCCCGGCCGGGCGCGCCTCAGGGCGAGGGCACTCCCTGGTCAGCGCGGGCTTCTGGGCAACATGGACTTCTTTGATTGGGCTCCTTCTTGGCCCAATTCGGATTTCCTCCTTGGGTGTTTATAACTCGGTCCATTGCCTCGGTCTCTTCTTCTTCGCCGAGCCCTTAATCACTGGCTTGATTACTCTAACGCGGTCTTAGGCTGTGGAGTATGGTCATATCAATGCGATCCATATCGAATGCTCGTAGTGGTCCAATTAAGTCCGGGAAAATGCTCAAAGTCTGCAATTTCCTGTAAAACAATACCAAAGCTACAAAAACACTAGAAAATGCATATTAGCAATAAAAATAGCTCCGTAGAGCCAAAAATATTCTTAAATATGACCAAGGGACAGAGGTAAATCACTATATAAAATGAACATATCATATGCCTTGGGAATTATTTGCAAGAGTTGGACTCGAAAAGGGCATCTCCACATAAAACGTGAGAAAATCCTTTGGAGTACGTAAACCTCTTGCAGTAGTGTTGCGTATTATCCTAGCCACTAATACCAACCAAGTTTTGGGCGCGCGGGCGGACCTCGTTAGAGGAGTCACATTTGAGGCTCTAGCTCCGTTCGTGGGTTAGTTCGTGTTCGTGCTAGGTGCAAAACACGCTTCAAGGGTATGAACGTCTTTTCCCTCCTCTCTCTCTCTCTCTATATATATATATTTATTTATTAAGTGTTTATTGTTTTATTAATTGTATGCATGTTTTAGTATAGTCGCTTTAATTTATGCATGTGGTCCTTGGGCGTGTTTTGGTTCCGTGCGGTGTTTGTACACCATAAAACCCAACATAGATTGTCCCCACTTCTACCTTTTTTTTTTAAAAAAAAAAGATTAAAAATTATTTCTCTCATTTTTTTTTTATTATTAACTAATAGTATTACCAAACAAACCGCACCTAGCCAATAATTTAATCCATTTAACTCTAGATAGTCAGAACGATACACTTTTAAAAAATACTGTAAACAAAGGGATTACTCAAAACACAATGCCAAACACACCCTTAAACACAACTTTAATATACTCCCATTGTTCCAAATAAATCTTCCCATTTTTCTTTTAAGGCTTCCCAAATTGTTGTTCCCATTTCACATTTTCCCATTTTTAGACACTATAAAAAGATTAAATTATTTTATTCACTCAACTATCTAAAATACACTCGCATTTTATCTAAATATCTGTGCCCACCCATGTGCATTTATACACTTTAATCTTTTTAATGTACTCCCTCTGTCTCTATTTATTTGCCCTATTTACCATAAAAGGGTGTCCCTTATAAATAGTCTCAAATCATATATGTCCATAGGGACCACGACTATACTCTCACAAAATTAATTTAGGGTAATGTTTGGTTAACAAAGGAAGTAGAAATTCACATGACTTTGGAATTTGTGGGAATTAAATTGCTTACTTTAAATTCATGGGATTTTTCTAAAGTTGTTTGGTTTGCAATGTGGAAAATGACTTCCTATAGGAATTTCTTTTTACCTAGGGGGAGCTAGGTAATTAAATTCCTACATTGTGTGAGAAGTGAAAATTCCTAGGAATTCCTACTTCCCCTATTCCACCATTTTTTTTATCAACCAAACAACTCTCCCCAATTACAATTCCTAGGATTTTCCAATTTCCACATTTTCTAATGCTAATCAAATAACACCTAGGTCCCACCATTTTTCTCTCTCAATAATTTTACCCAACTAAAACTTAATAAAGCACAATATGAGTACGGTGCAAATATTTAAATACAGAGGGAATACTAATTATATTGGACTCAATCACATTTCTTGTCTTTTTCTCAATTTTTAATGTACTTTATCTTCCTATTTCTTATTTCAAAATTTGACAAATGAAAATATCATTTGAGAACGGAGGGAGTAGTACTCGATCATCCTAATACTTCCTCTGTTCTTTTTTACTTGACCTGTTTCTTTTATCACGCTTGTCGATCCACAACTTTAACCATCAATAACTTTATTTCTCTATAAGTAAAAATTATCAAAGTTATATATTGTGATAGTACTTATTGAATTGATTCTAACAAGATCCCACATGAATATGGTTTTTCCTTATATATTAATCACAAAACACGGTTAAAGGAGAGGTGGTGAATGGTGTAAAAGTTAAGGCGGGTCAAGTAAAAAAGAACGGAGGAAGTAAGACATAGGGATAGAATCTCATACAACTTTAATCTATCTATAACCCATATAAACATTAGAACTTCCATCAACTTGCTCTCTACTGTGCTTATGAATAGTGATTCTTGATGCTATTACTCTATGAATTGCCCAATCTGGCCCTGCTTGCATTGACTTGCTCAGGTACTTTTCCTTAATCGGTTCCTGGTTTTCCTCGCTGCCTTTCGTTTTGCCGCCTCTTCCCGAACTCCCTCAAAACCAGTCATCTTTCTGGCTTTCTCTCTCCTTAGCTCCATTTTTTCTCTCCTCCCTCCATTTTACATTTCCTGAGCATAGCTACATCACAAGAATGGAGCAGCAGCGGTGAAATCCAAGGGCGGCGGCTCAACTATCACAAGAATGGGGAGATATACAGCTTCGAGCTTGAGGAACTTGAACAGAATGAGCACCCTTCATCGTCAAAAAACTCCTGACCTTGTTCTCAAGGTTTGCAAACTCTAATCCTTACCTCTCTATGATTTTATTGCTTTCTCACTGTGATTAAATTCGTCTTTGATCTTATGTTAGCATTTGTTTGGTTTGATTCGGGATTAAATGTGTCGGATTATCAAACTAATATTCTCTAAATCTCTACTATTGCATGTTTGAAATGGGGATTTTTTTTGTGGGCTGCTAATACTTCTTTGCATAATTTGTGTGTTAATTTTTTCCCTTTGTTCTGAGAATTGTATATGGAGATTACTTTTTTCTTAAAAAATTTAATCACTTTTCTATTGGATCAGATTCGTAGCATTTCAATTATGTGAGTGATTTCTTGCTTGTATGAATTTTTGCAGATGGTTTATGATAAAAAAATTCCATGATTTTTTTATCTGTGTTTTGGAAGCTATGGGAGCTTTCAACGAATTGAGGAAGCTGGAATTGTTCTTTAAGGATGAGAGCAGGCATGGTCTTTCAGTTTTTGATCTTGGAAAGATATTGGCTTGTATGCACGGTTAGTTTTCGACCGATCCTCTAATGCCTTCCGTTTTCAGTATTAAGTTAGTTCCTCGATCCTCCAATGCCTTCAGTTTTCAGTATCCTTTAATTCTTTGGCAGGTATCTTTCTTTGTTCATTTATGTTTAGTCCATATCTCAGGTTTTTTTTGGGTATCTATTTTGATGAATTTGAATTCTGAGATTTGGGTTTTGTTTATTTTATGGGTATTGTTGGATTTCTATTTAGAGGGGAAAAAATGAATTTATTTGTGCAATTTGATCCAAAAGTGGTCATTATGCTCATAGTTAAAATCTGGTTGCCCTTTGATTTCTCAACTATCTATGTTTATATTGATTTGAGTTTCTCTACTTTGATGCGAGTATTAGTGAGATTTGGGGAAACGATAACTCATACATTAACGATCGGTTACTAAAATTAGCTTTACCTTGAATTGAGAATTTATGTACATGCTGATAACATGACTGATACTCCGTAATTGTTATTTATGAACTTTAATAAGTGAATTTTTAGTGTTGTGAATGTTATTAAATCTGTTAAGGTAGCTCAAAGGATAGGCATTTTTAGTGTTGTAAGATAATATGATTCATTTCTGGAAGTAATTTGGTAAAATCTGGAGTAAGAAATATGTTTGATTACATTGTAATTTATCGATTCTAATAATATAGGCATAGTGGATCGTTGAGTCCATTCTCGTGTATTGATATAATTTTCTTTAGAGAGCAAATAAGTAGCGAGTGGCATTTTTCTTATAATCTATTTCATGAATGCATTTTAGTATTACCTTCCTATAAAATTCTGGTATTTAATTTAATTTCTCGATAATTATTATGGAGGAATAGGAAGCTGAATCAATCACTGCAAAACTTAATTTTTTCAGTATTGATATTGAGATTTTTAGCTATACTTTTTTGCTTTTGGTATAGAATGGAACTTCAGAAGAGGTGGTGAAGATAGTAGAAACTCTCAATGTAGGTGAAGGTCATGAAAAGGTAGGAAAAGGAATCTCACAAACAAGAATGAGACTAAGTTGCTTGAGCATTTTGTGTAGTTGTATAAATTGCCACCTCATGTATGAAGTTTGGCATGTTTTTAACACTTTGCAGCAATCAGCCTAGATTTATCAGTTGGAAAGAAAATCTGCTTATCATAAAATGATGTTATTAGTTGATTGCATTTGTTGGATGCTTTTGCACTGTTTGCATGAAGATTGCGACACTATTCATAATATGACTACGATATGTTTTAAATTTTTAGGGAGGAGTTGGAAAAACAGAGAGGGGTCATGAAAGATAAATGAAGCTGCAGGAACAAGGGAAAGTTGAGCAAGCAAAGAAAGACTTAGGTCAATTTTGGGATTACATTCTCACTTTTGCTGTCAAATACTTGTATTGATTGTATGTTCTGTCTGCACTTCTTAAAGAAGCAGGAAATAGATAATGTGCCTAAAGTAGATGAGGCTTGGATGAGCTTTGAATAACTTAATGTACGAGCTATCGAATTTGCTATAGAAAACTTTATACTAAGCAAATCAACCTCCATACATTTTATAGGCGATTTAATTTTAAATGCTTAGTTTAAATATTTGCATACATCCTACTAACTTGATACATAAGGCTTCAAATCCCTTTGCTTTATGTTTGGGTTGATGAATTGGAAGGAAGAGCCTGGGAGATAATAAAGGCAATATATATGTATTGCATTCTCTCTTTTGATTATAAAAAAGGGGAGGGTAATGAAAAGGGTTCATTTTCCTGACATATAATACACCAAGCTACTCACAAGCGCAAGACAGGAAGTTATGGGATAGACTTTGTGAATTAGCTTAAGTTGCACACATAAACATCTTAAAGGCCGAGTCTATGTTAGTTATGTCAGATTTGTTTTATTTCTTTGCTTTGTTTTCGAATGTGTATGCAGATTAGGTTTTTTTTTTTTTTTTTTTTTTTTTTTTGTGCCTTGTGTATATAAGTCTAGACCTTGATTTGCCCCCGAGCTCTATAGCAGATAAAGTGTATAAGCTGTTAAAGGAAGCTAGAATAGTAGAATTAAGTATCTTGAATTTAAAGCATCAGTTTTTGCATATGCCTTAATCATCATTTAGATGTCTTAAATATATGTCCGCAAGTTAATACATTTGTTCTTTTTTGTTTGCTTATCTCTGTAACTGATATATTTGCAGGTTAATAATTTGGTGCTTACAAATATCTCTTAACATGGGTGACATTCAGAATGCTCCTCTTTCACAAGAGGAAACTACTTGTAGGTCTCTTTTTATGAACTTTAGGTATAATAGAAGCTAATTGTTTATCGTGTTTTCATCAGTGATTAGCTCTATTTTTTTTATTCTACTGTTTTATTCAGATAATTTGGGATGTAGTGGGCAAGCCTGAAATATCTAGGGCCAAAGCTTGAGCTTGAGCTTGAATGCATAGAAGTATACACGAGAAAAGTTGATGTGGCTAACCACTCTAGAGCTCAGCTAGCTATTGATGATTCAGAGGCAGAATTTGCAACCATCTATTCTGCAATTGGAGAACTTCCATTACATGTCAGCTGTCACCTACATACTGTTAAAACAAATCTTAATGATCCATGATTCCATTGTGAATCTTTGTAGATTTTTAATGCGATTAAGATGTATTCAGATTCATTTCTTTGATCAATTTCTATTAACATTTATTTATGTCAATTTCATATATAATTCTGAAAATTCAATGAAGGAAGAGATGCATAAAAGAAAAGCAAACATGAAAGATAGAAAATCAAACAGGAAAGATCAGTTTCTTAGAGTCATTAAACAAATTAAAATGTCTAAGGGGGTTGAAATATACCCCATATTCAAAGTTATTATCAAATAGGAGTGTTAATTTTGTAACCATTAACTAATTACTAATGTCATTAACAATAGGATGAATTTTGGAATCACTCAATATTGGCTTAGCTTGATTACAATGAGACTTATTTAATTAAGCACAAGTTTAGGTACTGCGTTCTCTATCTCATATTACAAAGTCTGCATTCTTTTTTAGGTAAGTTAAAATTAGAAGCCTATTTCAATACTTTTGACAATATTGCCCCTTTTTTATGAGTTGTCATATTTTTTTTTTCTTTTTTTGTACTACTGATGCCTTTTGATGTCAATCCAAATAGTTTCTCCCTCCCTCTCTAAGTCTTTATAATAATTCCCAACTAATTTTTCTCTCTCTAACTCCACATTACACATATGTACCCTCAATAATTAATTTTAAGGAATCTACAACCTACTTAATTCTCGTGAAATAACCCAAACAGGCTTTGTTTAATTTTAATACTCTTAGAGTTAGTTACATGTTTAATTAGCTAACTATATTCAAAGTCAACATACTCTATTATTCAAACCTATAAAAGCTCTTTAGTAAAATTATATAAGAACAACTTATTAATGTTAATTATGAAACAATCTTGAGGATATTTATTAAGTGAACATAACTTATAATTATCATAAATTTAATAATTAAAACGTAATACACATGTATCAAAAACGTTGTTATTTATTACTTAATACATGTACAATTGCACCGATTAATCCCCACCATTTTAAGGAATTCGATTCACATATACTAAACAACCATACAATTTGAAAAATCTTACTGGAACAATTGACAAGAATAAAGCTACAAATTTATGACTACAAATTGTGTGTGAGAGACTCAAGAGAGGAGAGAAAGAGAGATAGAGAGGAAGCAATAGGAGGAGAGGGAGAGAAAAAGGGGGGATAGGAAAGGAAGAGAGGGGTCGAGAGAAAAAGAGAGAGGGAGCCAAGAATGAAAAGGGCTGGAGGAGAGAGAGAGAGAGAAGGGTTGGGAGAGAAAAAGAGGCCAAGAGAAAGAGAGAGAATGGATAGATAGATAGAGAAGGCAATGCCCAGAGAGAGAGAGAATGAGAGGGAGAGGGGTAGAGAGATGAAGGTGCTAGGAAATTACAGAGAGAAAAGGCAAGGTTGCGAGAGGAGGGGAGAGAGGTTGAGAGAGAAAGGTGCTATGAATGAGAGAAAAGGTAGGTTAAAAAAGAAAGAGAAAAGGCAGGTCATGAGCTAAGAGTAAAGGGCATGTCGGGGGATAGATAGAGAAGGGCTGGGAGAGAGGAGCCATGAGACGGGAAAGAGGATCCGGGAGAAGAGATAGAATAAGAAAGAGGGGTTGGGAAAAATAGAGTGAGATAGAAAGAGAACGAGGGCCAAAAGAGATAGAGAAGGTAGAAATAAAGATCGAATAAAGCTAGAGTACTAAATAGAGATAAAGGGATAGGAAAGAGATAGAGAGATAGAGAGAGAGAGAGAGAGAGAGAGAGAGAGAGAGAGGCCGGAAGAACTATACATACATAAAAACCAAACTTACGTGCATTTTTATAATCTTCGAGATAACGACAAACAATTAACATTAACTATATTAAATATCGTAGCGTCAGGGGATATGGATTGGGAGACAAGTGCAGCTTATAATTTTCAAATCCTTTTTAAAGATGGAATAGGGACAAGAGGGGTTAGGGCAGAGAGAGAGAGAGAGAGAGGAGGTCTAGGAGAGAGCGAAAGGAAATTCATTTTAATTTATACCTCAATATTGGAAACATTACGTTTTTTTCCAAGACAAATACTTTTGCCTAAATTAAATCGTATATTCACTCAGGAAAAACAAATTTTGAGGATAAAAATAGCACTAAAATTCAATATGCAACTCAAAGAAAAAATATATAAATACAAAAACAAGCTTTGAAGAAGTTTAGATCACACCAATTATGTAGACTATAAACAAGAGAGACATATAATATATAGCATAAAAATAAAAAAAGCACAACCCTTAAATTACCAAATAAGAACACAACACCTTTTTGCAATAACCAACCTTTAAATGTATAATCCACAACCTTACTTACCTTTATAGAACTCCAATGCCTATTCAAAGATCCTTTCGAAGATTGCTATCATGAATAGTCAACATCATATTACCCCTTTCGAAGATTGCTATCATGAATAGTCAACAACATATTACCTATAGACAATATAGCTTGTTGATTCCAACTACTTACCTTTTGATAGTAAAACAAGCTATTTTGACAATACATTAAATTAAGCTCCCTTAATCAGCATGTTAAAAACACCACAAACTTTAAAACATGATCACAGCCACGTAGCTTACATACGGGGACACGCGCGTAGTGCGTGTTCCAACGACTAGTTATTTCAAAAGGAAAAAACACAGGGACCCAACACAAGACTCATTGAATTGAAAAAGAGAGTAATACTAGTATGGGTGTTGAACTGAAGCATCACAAATCTTACATTTTAATAAGTTTATTTATAATAATAATAAACAGCCTCCTCTCTTTAAAAAAAATTGTACTCTCCTCCCTTTCGCTGTTGTTGTTCTTCTTCTCTCTCCTCTTTCTCTCGTGAACCCAAGTATACTATCACACACTCTGCACTTTTCTTCCCCTTTTCATGGATGCTTTCGTTCTTTATCACTGTAAGTTCTTAATCTCTTACTTTACTCGAATTCACTCTCTCTTTTTTGATTTTTTGGGGAAACCCTAAAAATGTATTTGCTGCTATAATTTATTGTCTTTTCTTGGTTTTTGATTCGTAGATTTGCTGTTGTAGTGCTTGATTTTTGTGGGTTTGTTTTGTTTTTACATTTTTGTTAGATGGGTATTTCAATTTTTGTTTTTTTGTTCACTAGAATGAGTGGGTTTTTGCAGGTTCTCGAAGGTATGTACAACTTGTTTGAGCTGATTTGGTGTGATATTATAATTTTTAGTTAATTGGTTGTCAGATTTTCAATTAAGCTTAGGAGAAGTATATAAATATTGGGAATTTGTTGATTTTGGGTTAATTAGTTGTGGAGGGAAGTGGGCATGGTAGGTAAAGAGGATGAAGCTAGTTCATGGGGTCAGTATCAAGTTTGCAATAATGCCCCCAAAAAATTTTGGAGGTCAGCTTCATGGTCGGCATCTAGAACTGCTGGCCATAACCCTGATATTGATGATAATGATAATGTAGATCCAAATGGAAACTCTGGGAGTAACGGAATACAAGCACGAAGGTTCCCTGCTCCGTTAACTCCTCGTTCCCAACAAAATTGTAAAGCTAGATCGTGTTTGCCCCCACTGCAGCCACTCGCCATTGCTCGAAGGAGCTTGGATGAGTGGCCGAAGGCTGGCTCAGATGATATAGGAGAGTGGCCGGGACCACCCACTCCTAGTGGTAGGGATGTGATTAAAGGTTCGGAAAGGTTGAAGCTTGATATGTCTGCTATTCAGACGAATTCGGAGAGGAATGGGGGTTATGTTAAGAAAGACAAGATTGCATTCTTTGACAAAGAATGTTCTAAGGTGGCAGATCACATTTATCTTGGAGGTGATGCTGTTGCTAAGGATAGGAATATTTTGAAGAAGAATGAGATTACCCATGTGCTCAATTGTGTGGGTTTTGTTTGCCCCGAGTATTTTAAAGCCGACTTTGTTTATAGAACACTGTGGCTTCAGGATAGTCCTTCAGAAGATATTACTAGCATACTCTATGATGTCTTTGATTATTTTGAAGATGTCCGGGAGCAGAAAGGGAAGGTCTTCGTTCATTGTTGTCAAGGTGTATCTCGATCTACTTCGCTGGTGATTGCATATCTTATGTGGAGGGAGGGGCAGAGCTTTGATGATGCATTTCAGTATGTGAAAGAAGCTAGGGGTATTGCTGATCCAAATATGGGGTTTGCTTGCCAACTGCTGCAATGCCAGAAAAGAGTCCATGCTTTTCCTCTCAGTCCAAGTTCATTATTAAGAGTATACAGGATTGCTCCCCATTCTCCATATGACCCTTTACATCTTGTTCCAAAAATGTTAAACGATTTGTCTCCTTCAGCCCTTGATTCCCGAGGTGCCTTTATTGTACAAGTGTCTTCTGCAATTTATGTTTGGCTGGGCAAGAATTGTGAAGTTATAATGGAGAGGGAGGCAAGAGGTGCCGTGACTCAAATTGTGCGGTATGAAAGGGTGCAGGTGCCTGTCCTTGTAATTAAGGAAGGTGAGGAGCCATCCTTTTTTTGGGATATCTTCTCTGATTTTGTGATGGACAAATCTGCTAGTGAAGTAAAGCATGGAGAGGCTAAAATTCAGCCTGGTGAGAGGAAAGTAGCTTCTTATGATGTGGATTTTGAGATCTTTCAAAAGGCAATTAAAGGGGGGTTTGTGCCACCCGTCACATCATCAGAGACTGAATATGAAACACATCTGCCTGCACGAGAGAATAGCTGGAGTGTGTTGAGACGCAAGTTTGCCTCAGGACATATGAAGGAGTTTGTCTTAGCTCCAAAACTGGTTCTCAATAAACTTCACTCCGATTCTAAGCTCAATAATTATGGTGAAAGCATTGTTTCCAGTAACTCACGTAAGTCTGATGTTACATTGGTGCCCTCAATGTCCTCGTCTCCTTCCTCCTTGTCATCACCATCTTTATCATCTTTGTCATCATCACCTTATCTATCTCCAGAATCTATCTCCTCTGATTCAAGTAATAACTCAAAGTGTTCCTCTGAGTCTCCTTTAGAGTCACCCTTGTCACTATCATCAGCTATATCAGCATTTTCTAACATGTCTCTGCTCTCTTCTAAAACTTCTACAAATGTATCTAACCATCCAGGCTATATTGAGGTTAACTTTGGTTCAAATCCTTTAAGGTCCACTAACTTACCTTCCAGAAGGTCACCTCTGTCAATTGCAGAGCGTAGGGGTAGCTTAACCAGGTGCCTGACTTTGCCAAATGTAGTTGGTGATGGAAGGATGCAAGAATCTCCCCAAGAGTTTTTTGCCAACAAACAAGATGATAGCGTAAATTATAATACCTGCATATCATTTGAGCTGGATAAGGGAGGAATGATTGCAGCTAGCAAGAATGAATCTTTTGAAAAAGATCTTGATTCTGATAAAGTAGCAAGCCAGAGTAGCTCACATGTAAAGGAATTTGCTTTAGCAAGTGTTTGTAATAACATTAGAGAAAACTCTACCCCATGTGTTACTGCAGGAGTTGTGGCGGTGGTTTCCACAAAGTGTGATATCAAGCTGCCTTCTGTTTACCGCTTACCAGATCTAGAGAAAGTATCAGTTTCAGAAATATGTGAACTTGATTCTAGTTCAGCGTTTATTGTCATTGCTCCAGAGAGAGTTTCATGCCCCATCAATGATTCAAATATCTATCTTTGGGTTGGCAAGTCTTCCAAATTTGGTCAAAGTCAAGTTCATGCACATAGGAAAGTAGGTGGTGTAGATTTAACTGACTTGGAGCAAGCTGGTTCTGATGTTCTATCTCGCATGGGTCTCCCCGAAACCACCGACATTAAGGTATGTTTCCCGTGCTCATACTTTCTGTTCTTAGCTATGCAATTTATGGATTCCTAATCAATATAAATATCTAATAGTTGCAAATTTCACAGTGACCTAGAGTAGAGTCTACATGTAAATAGCTGATTCTCTGAATTTAAGATTTCATGCTTTCTTCACTTGAAATCTTTTGTTTGCCGTTAGATTGAAGTTAGAAATAAATAGTTGCTTATTGGTACAGTTGATCTATAATTTTATTTCTTCTTCTATTAATTTCTGCCATAAAAAAAAAGGATTAGACCAATTCCATGTCTTTACTTTTCTTATTAATTTTTTTTCTGTTTGAGATGTTAGCAGCGGTGGATTAGAAACTAACTGGGATGTTAGCACTCTTAGCAGTGGTGGACTAGAAGCTAACTAGGGATGCAATATAAAAGTTGGCTAATTCTTTTATACAATTTAAATTAATTTTGTTGCTTTGTCTCTAAAATATTAAAAGCTTACAAATTATAGGAAACTTCTATGCCTATTAAAAGTTTTAATCTTAGTCCACCTTTTTAATTAATGGTGATGCAACTTAATGTTAGTCAACCTTTTTAACAAATTGGGATCACCTTCGAGGCTTAAAAGGTACTCCACTGCTGTATTGATCCATAGGTCTATGAAGATATACTCATGGGAATGATAATGTGCAAAAGCTCTATTTATCTCTGCTATTTATGAGTGCTTTCCTATGTATGGCATTACCAATTCCTTTGGTAGCATCCTCTATTTTGGCCCTGATGCTTTTTTTTTTTCTGCCCTTGATTACCAATGAATGGCAAGTTCTTTTTCTTATTTATTGTAATTAAATGATTATAAGAGCTACTGATTTGTTACTGTGAGATTCACTTAGCTATTATATATTTCTTCCCTTCAATTTCACACAACTGTGTCATAGGTCTTTCAGCACAGGAAATCCTTTAACAATAGAGGAAAGAAGGGTGGGAGGGGAGAAGAAACCAAATAACACATGGAACAGAGGGCAGAGGTCAATTGGTCAAAACTTACTTAATCTGTGATAACCACACAATTTCTGTTTTAAATCATGCATATAAAGGGTTTATTAATTCCGAGGGCATGCTAAAGAGTTTTGTAATGGTACGTATAGTTTATTAAAGGCCAATTCACTACTTACATTGTTTATTAAAAATATATTTATATGACTACTATTAAAAATTACTAGCTAGATATAGTTAGTTAATTTCTTCACAAGATGTGGGAAAGTATATTTTCAATTATAATATGAATGAATAAAAAAATACATTAGAATTGCCATGGTAAAATGGATTAAATTTCTGTATGTCAATTTAAGTCTCCAATGTGCGATATCAGATTAGTGAACTGGTGCTTCTGCGACTTCATGACCATTACTATAATCCGAAGTGTGTAATACACTGTTAGGTTCTCAAACCCGTGCTTCAACTTATTATATTTCTTAGTTCTGGGATAGTCAATAGTTGACCATGAAAACATGTTTAGTTTCTCTTGGTTGGGCTGGCTTTTCTGTGGAATTTACTGCTTTATTGTTTTATGTGTTTCACTTGTTATTTGTCTTCAAGCTTGGTAATTGCCATATGACTTGCTAGGCATTGCTATGTAATTCCCAAAAAATGTGACAGTTTCCAGACAATCCATTTAGGATAGAGTTTACAACAAATTATATACTTCATCCATTCTTTTTTCTTGACTAATCGCTCCTTGGCACACAATTTGAGCAGGAGATTAGAGAGATAAACACAAATTATATAAAAATAAAGTAATACCATAAAACCCCAATATATCCCTCTTATTAGTGTTAAACTGTTAATCCATTTATCTTCTCTAATCTCTTCCTCAAATTGCGTCAAGCAAAAAATAATGGAGAAATATTAATCATCAGAATGTTATTTTTCTATAAGTATTTACCATGAGATGGCTGTAGACATGATCACAAATTTTTAGCAGTGCGTTGATTATTATAAAACTTAATACTTCCTCCATTTTTTTTTAATTACACCATTTTCCTTTTAAGGAAGTTGCGTGTCAATTGCACCATTTCTATAATGGGTATACTTTCATACACTTTTTGTTTGTGTTCACACACCAAATACCTATTTTACCCTTATTTACATTTGATATTTACCATTGTTACCTCACTTTTACTCTCTCTCCTTTGTTTGTAGTCACATGGGTATTTTTGTTATTTTATTCCTTTCTTAAACTTTGTGCCCAACCCAATTATATATTAAAAAAAAAAAAACCGGAGGAAGTATATATTGGCCCCTTTGTGCAACTCTTGCTGAGATGATTTCTCATTGTTTTCACCCCAATGTGGGGGTGGGGGGGGGGGGGTGGAATCTCATGGTGTAGTGCTGGGTTCCCTTCAGCATGTGTGTGAAAATAAGATTGAATATAATGAGGTATGATGCAATTTTATGAATTATTTCCTTGAGATTATTGAAAAACTCATTATCCTTGCTAGAGTTGTTTGATTTGGTTATCGACAATTCGACACATTTGATACATATTTTTGTAAAATAGACATGTCAAACTACTTTCCCCTTCTCTCATGCTTTTTTTTGGTGGGGTGGACGGAGTATAGTAATAGTACTATAATTGGCTGATCTAGAAATTGAATCCAAATTGAAATGTTTTTTGGATGTATCTGAAAAATGTTGTCGTTGTCTTTTACATGAGCAAGCAACTAAGCGGTGCTATAAGCTCTAATTACTTTATCATAATTTGAATATATGTAGAACTGATCAGAACCAAAGGCTAAAAGAACATTTAGGCATTGTTTGGTTCAATATTAGTTAAGGAATGAAACGGAAAGGAAGGGAAAAGAAGGGAAAGGGAAAAAAACATATCATTCAATGTTTGGTTTGATAGTAGTAAAGGAAGGTAAAGTTGTGGAATCCATTATTTACCGTGATATTGGTAAAGGAAGGGAAGGTAAGGGAAAACTAATTTTAAGCTTGATATATTTAATTTCTTTCCTTCCTTCCAAATTCCTCCAATTTTAAAGGGAAGATTTTGTTAAGGGAGTTTTGCTTCATTTGCTTTCAAATCCCATTTAATTTTAAAACCAAACAAAGGAATCCATATTTGTCCTTTCTTTTCCTTTCCTCCCAACCAAAAGTGCCTTAGGCAACCAGTTTTTTTATATTAAAATATATATCATTTATAACTTATAAGTTGTTCTAACATGAATTTGTACATTGATTTTTTTTTTTTTAAAGTTTGAATCCATGTGAATGCTAGAGCATGTTTTTGCTGTGGGTTTCACATGTGTCTTGACCTTTCTTGAGCCAGATATTTCTGTTGAGGGAGTTCCCTTTTGCATCTGTCTTGACAACCTTAGAACACTTACTTTACGAGGTGATGATGTAGCTTTATTATGCCATATGTGTTTTTTCCAGGCTGCTCCTTTTGAAAGTGAATACAGAAAAAAGTCTAGTTAATAATTTGGAGCTGACAAAAAGAGAATGCATCTCTAACACAAAGCCCCGAATAAGGTGGCATAAAAAATTATATTGAAACCCCTACAAGAGCTCACCAATGGAGATCTTACGCTGTCACTTATCATTCTTGTGCCCACTCTAATTAGTTTGCACAAACATACAAAGATTATAAGTTTAGAATGAATAAGGGGAAATAGTTCATTGTGAATAAACTATATATTGTAAAATTGCCAGACACCCAAATGGCCAAATGAATTAAAGAGGAAAGTGTAAATATGACAGGATAGATTAATTGCTTTACTTTTACTTGAGTGATGTTGATTTTAGATATTTTAATATATGAAGTTGACGTGTTTCAGATTATCAGAGAAGGAGAAGAACCAGCAGGATTCCTTGAAAGTTTGAGTACATTGTAGCAGACTAGCAGTACACTAACTAGGGAAGATTCTTCTCATCCGTTGTACGAAGTAACTTCGTTAAACAGATTATAAGTGAAGAAAGAACTATTGCCTTACAAAGCTTTTGAGGTAATGAAAATTCAGCCTGACTATTTTATTTTTGAAATCCTAAAATTTGTTACTTGAACATTATTTTTGATGGTTGTGAATGAGAGACCTTTGTGTGAGATAGGGGTCTATTATTTTCCTTCATTTGTCTTAATTAGTTTTGAAATTTTTAGTTATGTGTGACACATAATAGCCATGCTTTTTCTTGTGCAATGTATTTGTTAGTTGTTAGATGGCTCTGAATCAAAGAAATGTAGAAAATGAATGAATACCGTCATTTAGAAAAGTACCAGGACTGTCTTTTGGGTGCATTTTGTGAGTCCCTCCTTAAGCCAAGTGTAGATGAACCAGACTTGGCCAAGAAAGAATTGTTTTGTTCAAGGGTGGTCTATATACACTATTGAATTGGAAGATCATGTTTATTGCTGGTTCGACAAACAGACATGGTTATTGTTAACTTTGATGGTCTGTGCTATATGCTATGTTTTAACTACCTATCATTAATTGGATACATTTCTAACAGCGCTGGTTTTCCTTTGAATCACAGCCTGCAGTGGCCAGGATGGGTGTTTGTACAGACTACATCCATTTGACGACATTCAAAACTGCCATTAAGAATTTCTTCAGATACTGATGTAATAGAAGCGCCTTGTATATTCAGAATTACTTATTAGTAAGGTGCTAAATGCAAAAGTTATTTGTGCCAAAACTTTCCTATCATTTTTTGTCATTGCATTACTCTTTGGTCTTTCATCATGTCTGGCACACATCAGCAAATTTATAAAATGGCGATTGGGTGTTAATAGTGTAAAAGTTTAAATGTGTAGGAAATCCAATGTTATTTTTTTTGACAAAAAACTCCTCTAGGCATATCATATATATTAATAGAGTTTGCCTTGTCAAACATGACAAGGGAAAGAACAGAAGGATGGCAGTACTCCATCCAAATTAACTCCTCCTGCCATGACAAAGAGAGTTTTGCAATGAAGTCTGCAACTTCATTACAAGGCCTAGGAAAGAAAGAAAAACAAAAAACTCAAACTTGCTAGTGGCATTAAGAATATCACAAATAATCATCTGTACTGGGCTTCACTCTTGCGTCTTCCGTTCAATTAGATTCAGAAGAGGTAGGCAGTCAATCGAGATTTCTAGCTTGCGGAAACCAGCCTCATAACTTCGAAGGATCCCATAGAGCAAGCCCTCAGCTTCTGCTTCCAAAACGCTGCACCCTTTGCGAAGAGGCTTACCTCCGGACATTAACACATCACCCCATTGATCCCGTACTACCATACTCACCCCCCCTTTGCCATCTTTGCAAATCCAAGAATCAGAATTCAGCTTGAAAATCCCTAGAGCAGGAGGTTTCCAAACACTATCAGAAGAAGTAACATTGTTAGCAGGAGGGGCAGGAGAGTCTCTTAACTGGGCAGCTTCGAATTCCCCAAGAAAGCTGAGAGTCTTGTAGCATGCAATGGCAGGGTTGATCCTCAATTTATCAAAAACCCACGAATTCCTCATATTCCATATTTTCCAGACAAACATGAGCAGCAACTCCCAGCTATTAATATGGCACGTACTTTGATCATGGCAGAAACCCAATCAAAAAAATTGAAATCTGCCCAACAGTCATCTACCTCCAGTCTTAGGGGGGGAAAGACGCCACAAGAGACGGCTTTCCGGGCACAGCACCACCATATGCATGATGGTTTCCACATTCTCACCACAGCGAGGGCAAATGTCATTGATACACATTGGCAAGAATTGCACGGGTTGAGAGCCCAACACGCATTGCCCTCCACATTGTGTTTTTGACTCTCTCAGGAACTCTTGCCTTCCAGATTTTCTTCCATATGGCTTGGTCATTCACATAATTCGAAGAACCAATATTACCTTTGCTACGATTCATTTCAAGATGGTAAGCGCTTTTAACAGTAAAAGAGCTGTTCTTTGAGTGATTCCATCTTAAGATATCTTCCTGATCCTACCTTGGCAGTCTGATAGCTTCAATAGCCTGCACCTCCAAAGGGCTCAGCATATGATTAATATCCCAAATTTGCCCACCCTCTTCTGTAATTGATATCCATGAAGATACCCAGATTTTGAGATCATTCTCCGAAGCAGGGCACGATGTCAGACGTTCCCCCTGGGAGGTTTGGGATCCATTTGTCGTCCCATACAGACACCTTTCTTCCATTTCCAATAATCCAGCTTGAGCCCTCCCTGACAAGCTCTCTTGCACCAAGGATAGATCGCCACGTGTAGCTCGCATTAGGGGCGATTTTTGCTTCCCACAAAGATGACCGAGGAAAATATTTCCCCTTCAATACCTTAGCTGCAAGGGAGTTTGGTGATTCAAGAATTCGCCAGAATTGTTTTGCAAGAAGAGCAGTATTGAAAGCTCTCATATCTCGGAGGCCTAGGCCCCCATCACTCTTCGGTCTGCAAAGCTTTTCCCATCCAATCAAAGCCATTTTCTTCGAGCGATTTCCATGGACATGCCTAAGAGAATTCAAAATTCCTTAATTGCTCCACTTTTTATCAAAATTCTCTACATACCGTCCACGTCATCCAACCTCTAAAAATATGATTTTTTTTTTTCATTCCTAGTTAAGAGCAAAACCAATTTTACCTTACATAAAACCGCTAATTCAATTAGCGGTTTTACCTTGCATAAAACCGCTAATTCAATTAGCGGTTTTACGTTATATTAAACCCACAATTTTTTGTAAGGTGATTCTTTTACTCAAACAAACCGCTAATTGAATTAGCAGTTTATCTAAATATAACTGCTAATTCAATTAGCGGTTTGTTCTGCAGACACAAAAAAAAAAAAAAAACAAAAAAAGATGATGTGGACTGTATGTAGGGAATTTTTATAAAATGTAGTGTAATTGTGGAATTTTGATTTCTTTTAACAATATTTATGGAAATCACTCCATTTTCTTCTCATTTCCCTGTTGTCCCCACCAAAAATTCCTACACATAGATTGATATTAATAAAATGCAGTACTTTATACTAGGCCTTGTTTGGTTGACATTATAAAATGGGAAAATTGGAAATTCATGGGAATTGAAAAGGTGGGTGGTTGTTTAGTTGACACAAAAAAACAAAAATGGGGCAAGTGAGAATTCATGGGAATTTCAACTTCCCACAAAACATGGGAAGTAAATTCCCAAGGCCCCCCTTGGAAAACCAAAATTCATGAGAATTTCAATTTCCCTTATTGTCAACCAAACACATTTAAGAAATTTCTAGAAATTTCATTAAGGAATTAATTTCCCATGAAATACAAATTTCTATGGGAATTAAATTCACATATCAATCAAACAATACCTAAAACAAACACTGGGATTGGCACATGTCTCATCTTTCCCTTAAAAAATAAAAATAGTTAAGTTGTTATTTAATTAAAACAAAGAGGAAAAAGTTGTTATTTTGAAAAAAGAAAAGTGCAATTTAAAAAGGAAAATTTGCCAAAAAAATCTTTTAAAAATATTTTTTTTTGAGAAAAGTCCTTTTAATTTTTTTTTGTAGAAAGGGACCTTTAAAAAAAACTTTACGAGGAGGAAACTTGACTACATTTTCCGGCGTTGACTCTCTATTTGCACTCATTTTTTCTCATTTCCATCCTTTTTTTTCACTCCATTAATGGGGTTTGAAGGTGCGTGGGTGCATAGGGTGGTGCAACGGTGCGTGAGGGTGGTTGTGGACTTGTGGTGGCTTATGCGTGAGGGGTGGGTGGAAGTGTGGGGCGGTCTCGGCGACGGCTGGGGCAGTAGGGGTAATGGTGCTGATGAGGCTAGAGCTGTCAGTTTGGTTAATGAACTGTTGGTTGAACTGAATGAACTGAAAATTTAACTGAAACAAACTGATCTATAACTAATTGAAAACTAAATGAAATAAACTAGAAAAATGTTAAAACTAAACTGCAAAATAACTAAAAAGTTGATCAATAAACAGAACTAAACCGAACCGAAATCAAACTGGTTCAATCTGAAACTGATTAAACTGAAACAGAAACTGAATTTAACTTAACTATATATATATATATATATATATATATATATATATATATATATATAAATATATATATATATATATATATATATATATATATATATATATATATATATATATATATATATAAAGAAGTATATGTTTGTTAATTAGCTAATAAGACAATATAAGTTGTTTTAATTCAAATACATAAGTGATATCACCAAACAACTAGGTCAACTACTATTCGTATATACTAAATCGAACAGTTTGTTTCAATGTATAACCAACACAAAATCCAAGGCATCATTGGTACAAATTTGTTGGTCATGCAAATAAGCTGAATAACACTCATTGTAAACGCGATACGAAATTTCACAATTTGTTGGAAAAAAAATACATTGAGACAATCTTACTCCGAACTTATGTGAAATAGGTTCAAAACTAATACTAACTGATTCAAAACTGAAAAAAATGGTCGAAAAGTGTAAAATAGTTGTGGTTCGAATTGTTTAAACTGTTGAACTGATTGGTGAAAACCGAAATAAACTGTAAGTGAACCAAACTGAACTGTTTTTTGAACTGAACCGAATTGAGAATGTATACGTTTCAACTGAAATAAACTGAACTGAAACAAACTGAACTGTTTGGTTAAAACCATAACTAAATTGTTGAACTGAATTGACACCTCTAGATGAGGCTTGAGATAGATTGGAGAAATAGAGAGTGAAATTAGTGAAAGAGGGGTAGTCAATGCCGGAAAATAGCAGTCAACATGCATCGGAAAACGAACACATGATCCTTCTGGAAATTTTTTTTCTTCAAGGTTCGTCCTTGCAAATTTTTTTTTAAAAGGTCTTTTTTCATTAAAAAAAATAATATTTTTAAAAGGTCTTTTCTGGAAAACTTTCCATTAAAAAGACAATTTTTTCTGATTATCAAAGCAAATACCACTATGTAGTCTATGTGTTGGGTAAGTATATTGCACTTGTGGTTTCAATTTATGTTAATACTATCATTCTATGTTAAATCCTCCATACCAAGTACAAAGAAAAACTACATTTACTTGTATTTCTTGGTATGTTTTCCTACCTCTTTTTCGACTTACTCAAAACCATAAATGATCTTGATCCACAAGAAAAACTTACAATTTCGGAGATGATTGGCCGGTTTGGCCACATTGCTTGTGCCATTTTCGCCTTAGTGAATGTTCCTCTCGTATTTTACCTTGCTCTTACTATCATTCAAAGAATGGTTGTGAACTCCGGTGAAGCAATCAGATACAAGGGTTCCATGGACGCTGTTTAGGGGATTTTTCCCCGCCACGTGGTCCAATCAGCACCTGCCACGTGTCAGCCACGTGGACCAATCAGGGGCTGCCACGTGTCATACTCCAGGAGGTCCAACGTGGACCAACCATGCCACGCCACGTGGCACCTATATTGCCAACCTGGAGAACGGCCAACGAGGCCCGAATCCCGAGGCAAGCCCAATCACTCCTAGGTTTACCATCTAACCTAGTATTGGGCACGTATTTTGAGGCTATAAATACAGTAATTAGCCTTCATTAAACAGATTCAGAATTAATTAATGATCTCACCAAGAGAAGCCTAAACCCTCATGCATACTACTTGCTAGACCAGACTTAGCATTAATTGCACTCCTCGATCACTCCTCCCCTTAGAGGAACTAGATCACTCTTACATTCCGCACCTTTTACTCCTTAAACACGTTCTAACTTGATCGTCGGAGGCGGAGCTCCCACCAACCAGAGTTTCCGTTGTTTTGCAGGTACAGGCGCACGGATCCAGTCCCG